ATTCCGAAAGGATTTACATATACGAAAGAAGGCTTTTTCACATATTAAGCTTTAAAGCAGAAGCTTCAAAAGTTTACATACTTAGTTACTTTTTTTAATCAGCTCATTAAAGTACTACCTTCAAATAAAATAACTATTGAAATTGTAAGAGTAATTACAATAAAACGTAAAAAGAAATTAAAAGACACTTAAGCCAAGTTCTAAGCATTTTTCAATTCACTTTAAGATAAATTTAATGTTATCAATCAAAATTGGCTAAGGGTTTAGTACAACTTAAAAATACCGGAAAAAAGGCATAGCTATGCTTAATTTTAGTATCAAAATCATCTCAAGTAATTTAGCTTTTACTTTTCTTATTGACGGAAAGTTTTCGCTCATATACAGTTCTAAAATTTTCATGTGAATTGTTAGATTACGTGCGAGCATTTAGACAAAGTCTTAATATATTCCACAGAATACACAAAATATATACTTGCATTATATTTACATATACGAGGACTTTATAAGTATGGATATTTAATTTCCGTCCAATGTATTCTTCATTATGCTTCCCGTGTACTAAAAACTGCAGTTAAATTCTAAACACCCTTCACTGTAGTGGAGCCACCGTCAACTGTACTATGATCAGATTTTAAACTAATATGACAGCTAATCTTTAACCTAAAAGGATTCATTAATTTATTATACAGCGAAATATAACTGGCCGTCTCTTAGAACTATAACAGGTACTCAGTCCGCCTTAACGCAGTTTGATAACTTTTTATAGAAAAAAATAATCATGACTTATAGTAATAAACACAACTTTCATTACATGTAGGTTTTTAATTGGGCATTCATTTTGAAAAGCAATCGATGAACCCACTTATAAGCAATTTTATTTTATTTTGCTCCAATGGAAATTTTATGGTGATTGTTTTAAAAATAGATTCAAAATAACTATAGCCTCACAAGTGGCCGAGTGTTTGAGAACGCTGAATACTGGCTGCTCGACCTATTTTGTGTTCGATCCCAGGTTAAACAAGTTGGCTGCACGGTTGGTTTTCATGGCTTTCTCCGTGTGTAAAGTGAATACGAGTTAGTGTTCTTTAAAAAGTCTCGACGAAGACATTAATTCTCTTAGACAGATAGACCTCGTGGTAAAATACTATACTCCTTCAAAATTGTTAGCACAGTTTCTTTCACTATTGGTAACTAACTAACTAAACTTTATACGTGCCTCGTCAACTAAATGACACTACACGACTGGTTTAAGCCCAACTGAAAACCCCCGATATCAGGCACGGGGCGGGCAACCAGTAATAAGCCACCTTGGAGATGGTCTAACACTCCAACTGAGGTCCCGGTGCCCACATCACCAGGACAACAGCTTCAAAATCGATCTCCACCAGAAACACTGGCCCACCGCTACACTGGTCAACCAAGACCACCGTTCCAGCGATCAGAGACCACGATGGGGTGGGCTTATAATAAACTTGGCGCTTTGACCGGTCGTTGAAAATGCTACCCACCAGTACTACACGGGATGCCCCTGTCCTTAGGCTTTGCATGGAATACCAAGGACAGCAGTGACCAGACTCTCAATGGTCCAGTTTACTATTTGGCTACCAATACCCTGGTGGAAGGGACTTACACCAGCCAACCCATGAAAAGCAAGTATCAACTTACTCCATGGGCCTTCGGGAACCGTCAAGTTCGAACTATTATACCCCCGTGGCCGAGACTGCCTAGGTACAGATCCTAGCCAGTAGCTTCGCAGAGTTCTCTACGTCGACCCCCCGGGGGGTCCACTATTGGTAAATCACATTCGTACATATTTTAAAATTGCTGTTTAAGATTAAAAAAAATTTACGTTTTGTCTATAAAAACCATTCGAACTTTGAATGCAACAAAAGAAGGCATAAGAAAATCGCAACGTTGCCTTAGTAAAACTGAAGAATTGTTATGCACGGTTTCCAGAGCTTAACACATTCTGAAATTTTAGCGACTTCCATTAAGGATGGTTTCTTTTATGCAAGTACCCTGTGATGTAATTTTACTCTGAATTTTATGTTAGATACTATTGCTTTTCTTGAATTCTGCAGTATTGGTTCAGAACAGTGCATAAGCATCACACATGATCGTAATACATTTTTTTCCCTCAATTTGCTTAAAATGGTAGCATCTTGCTCCACTGGGTGAAAACGGCAGCAAGATAAGAGTATTTTTACACTTAACTCCCAGATTCACGTGCTTTATCTGTATTGCTTTAAGCGCGCAACAACTCGTGATGCAATATAAACAAAACAAATATCCTAAAGTTGCTAAATACAGACATTAAAGTGCAATACTTAAAACTGGCAAGTTAACCGTTTCTCGTGACTGCTTCATTTCAAGAATTCCTTTGTTCAGAAGTTTGCCCAAAGTCATGGATGAAATGCATTTAAAATGGCAATGCTTTCTCTCACATGACGATAAGCTTTCCAGATTTAACATATGAAGCTGTTCCAATCGGCAACTGGCCAAAACTTCAAAGGATCTTTGTGTGTACCTTTTAGTAAAAGTTAGAGATGATGAATTACGTATAATTCAGGTAAAAGATTCACAATTCCATTTCTTGGCGTGTTTTGGTTCAAAAATGGATGAAGATATAGAAATTTGTATTATCGCTACTGATGTTCGAAGTCTATGACCAAGGAACGTTGTACGGCAAGATATTCCATAAGTTTTCCAGGCGGCTATTTTTTGTCTAAATAAAGAATTAACAACAAAGCAGTAATAGCTGGGTTCTAAATAGCTCAATATTTGTAGTTTTCAATTACTTTAATTATTAGGCAATAAAATTCAAAAATATTGAGAGAAAGAGTTTATCTAAATTTTTATTCCTTAAGTGTAAATATTTCAACAAAATTCCATATTGTATTCGAAACCTTGTTTTAAATATTATCAAAGAAATGAATATGAAAGGCATGGGCAGATTAGATTATGGTCAAGAATAAGGTATGGATGCATTCGTAGAAGCTGTTATTAGATAAAATCTTCACATTCGTATATATTCATATATATTGATATAAATATTCATCTTACACATGAGGATAACTTCGAAAACTCTCATATAGCTAGCCCGTTCGTTGGAATTTGAACTCAAAATGAGCTATCAATATTCAATGGTCTTGCCACTTAACCGTTAATGGATCCCATATGAGTTGAAGAAAAGCTATTTAAAACTTTTTTTTTTTTTTTTTTTTTATTTCAGGGTTAATTCAGTTCAATAAATTAAATCTAATCTTTCAAACTAAGAAAATTCAATTCAACCACCTGAAGAAAAGCTTTTAATATAGACAAATTTTCAAATCCTACAAGCTTAATTCTTTTAGCAAACAGTTGATGATTCGTGCATCATTTTGTTTAAATTATTTTGCTTGATGATATAAGATGCAATAAAATTTTGGTTTTAGCTTTTACAAATTACTTAATGATCTTAATTATTTACGGGAAATACAATCAAGGATATAAAAATATGAAATCAAAATTATTATAGTACTATTATAGTTTCGACAATAAAATTTAAAAACAACTATGTTTATTATTTAATCTAATGGCACAAAACTGTTATCAGATTTATTAATTAGTAACAAATAATTAGTTACTAAGCGAAATTACTTTCATTCTAACGTATTTCAATAACTTTCCAGTCATTTTTATAATTCAGTTTTCTTACAGAAACCTATATTTTGTACTCCATTCAGCCTTGGAGAATGTCCAAACGTAATATATAGCAGAAAAAAAATACTCTATGCTGAAACAAATGTACAGTATTACTATTAATAAACGATATTTGCATTTCTGTAGAGTTATAAAATCCTTTCTCTAAAAAAAAAAATCATTCGTCCCTCCCCACTCTTTTACCTGTTATATGATAATGAAGAGACAAATACTTTGATATGCCTACCTGTTCAACATTTTCTATTGAGAAGTCAATAGTGAGAAATATTAATATAAAATATCATAAATCAACTGTAAACAGTCTTCTAACAAATTAATTATAAAGAAACGTTTGTGTAAATTGCGAGTTGTTAGCACTTCAGCATTGAAGAATTTATCACAAACAGAAAAAATACCGTTTATATGCAAATTGAAAAGATAGAACTTTACTAAATAAAGCAAATTATATGACTATTAAAACGTAAAAAATAAAATATGTGTTTTTTGCTTCTTTAACAGAATGTGGCAAAGTACGTGAGAATTATCCGCGTATTCAAAAATTTAAAAACTATGAATTTTTTATTTTATTTTTATACTACGTCTGCTATTATTTTTGAAACATTCATCTATCTTTGAAAATTTACTTTATCGATTGAATCATAGCATTTATCTTAAACTTTATCAATCGAATCCCAGCATTTATTTTCAGACAACTATAATTGCTTTAATTTACACCTTAAATGAATACTGATTGTAACTGCAGAGTTTTAAACTGAATTTAATTTTGCTAAATTTAGAAATAAATATTAAACTTAATAGCATGCCTATTTTATTTATTGCCAAATGATGGCATGTTACAAGGACTGCTCTAAAAAAATACTAAAACCCTTCCAATCTATTATGTACTAAATAGTCTAATATCATAGAACGTAACCACGGAACACGCCAATTGGTGTTGTAAATAAAACTTGACGCTACCTGCGCGGAGTATAAATTGCCATAACGGCAATATGATGTACTATGTGAAATGCTTTGACTCTCTCTAAAATATGAACATTCCGAATCCAAATCAGCTGTCGTTTAATTTAGTAACTACAGCAATTAAAAATAACTATAAATCTTTTTTTTTTTTTTTTTCCATTTTTGGAAATTGTTTTTATTAGCATAATACGACAACTGGCGTTCTTGTAGTTTAAGTATTATGTAGGATGGCAACTGGCTCGAAGTTGTTCAAATGTTAATAATAGAAAACTTGAGTTTTTATTTAAATTAATAAATCTAAATGATTAAATTTTCAGAATCTCATTTCTTGCACCTACCTTGCAATGAAGACTTTCAAGTTAAAGATTTGTATTCCTCTTCGTTCTCCTTCTTTTATCAGACTACAGTAAATGTCTGGAACTTCAACAAATAAACAACAGGAACCGCTCAAACGACTAGATATTCTGAAGGTTCTTCCTAGAGCCAATCTTTTTGAATTCTGAAATTGCGCAGTAATACCTCAGGGTCTTTGATGCTGGGATACTTGGCTGTAAACAGTAGCACGTGATCTTGTGGCGTCTTCAGCTGATTTTTAAACACACGTGATATTGCGGGAAAAACGTTTTGTTGCTTTTCTTCTTGCTGGCAAAAGACCATCAGGTCTGTGACGCACTCGTTCTCATACAACGGTTTGGCAATGGCTTCTTCTACTTGCAGTGAATTAAACCCTAACGGTAAGTGACTCTGGTTTGAGGTCAGTCCCCCGTTTCCTGGGGATCATGTTTTTTCGAAGTAACTGCTTGAAATGATAATTTCAAAGGTTCTCGTTACTGCTATTTTTGATTTTGCATTCGATACAAGATTTGTAGTTATGATATGTTTCTTCACGAAACTTCATAGTCAAATTTAATTTCAGAAATCAATTTTGGGAAATAAAGGCAGCGGTATTCCGAAGAAAATGCATGTAATTGCAAACTGTTAGTGCAACATAAGATATATATACATAGCAGGATTGTTATCCCAAGTTAACCTGTGGTTAGTTATAAAAACAAACCACTTGAAAAATAAGTTAATTGCCTTAGCATGGAAGCCTTCTTTAAGAAAACTCACTTCTGCGTATGTATTTCTAGTAGGAGCTAATGAACTAATTCATAAGACCTCTCCTGCTTGAGAAGCTACAACAATTTAGCAGAGGCTAAAAGTTTTGCACTGTATTTCGATAACATATTCTTTGGTTGATTAGCGCTCAAAAACTTAATTCAGACTATTTTGAGCATATTGATCGTATTTTAGTTATAGGCATGCAATATAATCAATACAATAATTTTAAATATGAAAATACAGAAATTATTAAAGCAATAAATATGCAAAATAATAATGCATTTCTGTAGTAAGGTTTTGTCTTTATCTTGTTAAATTATGCTAGTTTGTCTTTATCTTGTTAAATTATGCTAAATGTAGCACTGGACACAGTGTGATTGTTAGATAATACTAAATGTATCCACAATCGACACTAAATAGGATTTATAAGTAAACATTCAGAGTAACTTCTATCCCTTAGTTTAAAAATAATATTCTTAAAATTATAACAATTTGTATTATCATAATAATATATGATGTAATTATGCAGTAAGTTATTAATTATACAGTACGTTTGCAGTAAATCATATCATTGGGAAATAAAGTCTGTCTTTATTTTTTAGTAATAAAAATCCTTATTCCTGCTTATGCTTAAAATTTCTAATTGTAAAATACTTAGCGATGGCTACTAGAAAGGTAGTATTTTAACATACATTTATGTTCATTAAATGTCCATTGTTAAATTTAGCAGTTTTACTATGAATTGCATAACCTGATTTAAGACCTTACTGTTTTTGTATCTGTAAACATACCTATAATTATCTTTTGAAACATTCTTAAAATACGCTTTTCTGAAGCAATCGGAAAAGGGACAAATCCCAGGTGCTCTAACTTTCATAATGCAGATGTTGATATGAAAGTTACAGAGGATGATCATGAAAGTGATGCTTATCAAGGTAAACATTTTATATATTAAAGGTTAGGTTAGACTAATGATTAAAGAAAAGCAAACAAGAACTATTTTTCTAATAGGAAGAATGCCTTCTTGAAGGACTGTTTAGGGAAACTAGTTTATGCCTATTGAGGTATACATTTTATATGTTAAAGGTTAGGCTAGACTAATGTTTAAAGAAAAAGCAAACAGGAACTATTTTTCTAATAGGAAGGATGCCTTCTTGAAGGACTGTTTAAGGAAACTAGTTTATTCCTACTGAACTATACATTTTATATGTTAAAGGTTAGGCTAGACTAATGATTAAAGAAAAGCAAACAGGAACTATTTTCTAAGAGGAAGGATGTTTTCTTGAAAGACGTTTTAGGGAAACTAGTTTGTTCCCATTGAAATTATTCATGAAAGAAAATGATGAAAATATCTATACTAGGTGTTTTCAGCCACGTTTATACTAAGTTTCAGCGAGGACAATGCAGTCAACCTTTTATTTCTCTGTTAAACATTTAGTTTTAATTTATGAATACAAAAAAAAAAAAAAAACTAATTTTACTCAAGTTTTGGTATTTATCAGCATTATTCTATACTTTTTCTTGTTTAATTTATAAAACGCAAATATTATCTAAATCTAAATAAATGTATAAGTATTTTTCCTGATCTGGAAAGAAAGAAGGAAGTGATCTTCTAAAACGTCGAAAAAGTTGAGAACCACTGATGCAGATAACCTATTCGCTGGAATGCGAACCTTCTTCGAACTATCAAAAAATTACCTACTTGATATATCTTATCTACTTGGTCACTGGTAGGTATATTTTAGTGTGAATATTGTGCGAAATTACCATGATCATTAACTATTTGAGTTATGAAAGTATCGGACCACATTCTTCTAATTGCAATTTTTAGACTTCTAATTGCAAAAATTTAATTATTAAAAACTGATATTCAAGCCTAGTTATTTCGCCATATTTTCGATGTAAATTCTGGTATAACATTTTGCTTGATCTGCCCTTTAAAGGCTTCTGTTCACTGAAGATTCAAAACACTATGAAAATCTACTCATTAACGCTTTGTGCGACCTTTGGCTTGAAAAAAACAGCTGCAACTCGCCTTAACATGATACCAGAAGTTATTTTTAAATGTGTGGAGACAGGTTGTACCAAATGTCTAAGCAGCGGTCACGCAAAGTCGAGATATTCCGACATGGTGGCGTTTGAACTCTTATCTGCTGCTCCATGACATCCCAAATGTGCTCTATCGGGTTAAAATCCGACGAGTTAGGAGGCCCGAACATTAACTGGAATTTATCCTTATGCTCCTAGAACCACTCCGATGCAATTCGAGCCTTGTGACATGGGGCGGTGTCCTGATGGAAGATTCCATTTCCAGTTTGGACGTCAGTCGCCGTGTAAGGTTGCAACTGATCCCGAGTTATATTCAGATAGTCCGCAACTTTCATGGTCTGTTCTACCGCAATTTCCTGAGCTATTTAAGGTTTCCAGAGCCGCAAATGAGAACATCCCCCAAAGCATAATACCTCCACCACCTGTATATGACCTGTATATGACCACGGCTTTGTATATGACCTGCTATACTGTGGGGAGGAATTGTTCGCCTGGAAGACGGCGTAGCCTAACGCGACCATCGACGTGATGATAAAGAAACTGTGATTCCATCCGACTATACAATTGTCTTCCACTCATCCATGACCCAGTCTCGATGTTTCCGTACCCACTCTAGGCGTAACTGACAATGACGCTTGGTCAACAGAAGCAAATGAGTGAGACGTCTGCCGCACAGTCCTATATACAAAAGTGTTTGTTGACCTGTAGGTTCTAGAAACACTTGCCACTTGGACCTGCATTGCATTGTCAGCTGAGCAGCAGGCTACTGCTGATTTTACTGTAACAAGCAGGACAGTCTGCCACATCCTTTTCCTTTGATGACGCGTAGAAATCCAACACGTTGTCATCTACTGCTGGTTTCACCGCCATTTATCCTCTTTGCATAAATACGAATTATGGCAGATCGTGAACAACCTACCAGTCGTGCAGTTTCGGAGATATTCGTTCCGAATCTTCGTACCTTTACAATCTGCTCTCTATCAAATTCGTTTAGATCAGCAGCCTTTCCCATAACTCGCAAAAGTAAGCCCAAGAATGATTCCTTACCATTACCAATAGTAATATTGAATTATCGTGCAAAGCGCGATGTTACCAGCTCAGTTGAAAATACTGCCACAAAACGGCACTTGATTTTGGCATATCTATGGCGATGGAGATCCTTGAGAGCGGAGGAGTGGTGACGAAGGAGAAGGGAGGTAACCTTGAGTTACAGTTGATTCCTTACCTTCTCCAGCAGCAGTTAGATAATTATTCCCGCTTTATCACGTCCTGTCCACGTCATTCACTTCATTGAAAAATGTGGGCATGGACATAATCTTTTGGCTGGTCAGTGCATATCATTCTGCGTATAAAGTATTCCCTCTTCTGCAACAGAATCTAGCGAATTCGTTGCAGTAACTCCTTATATCCTCATATCCCTAGTGATTCTATTTTAATCTCATACGAGAGAAATTTTATTAAAGTTCAAATATCATTAATGGTTTGAGAAATTGATTTATATCAAACTAATGTCTAAAATTCAGTCTCGTTATGTGTAAAAATATTCACTACTTTGAATTTAAATTGAATTTATAAAATGTACCTTTGAACACTGATCTGGCAATAAAGCCTTTTAATAGCCTGAAGTTCAATTCAGTACTAATGGCTTATCTTTTAAAGGTTAGAATTCCTGTTTGAACCTCATCATTAATTATGATCCCCAAAATAGATCCCATTTTTAATATCATATTTGAATTATCGCGATATATTTCGAACCCTTTGCTTCATGATTCACTAGCCTTCCGTGTGTAGAGACTGATTATTTAAGGCTGATCATGAAATTTAGATATCACATTTCCATATTTGAAGTTTAGATAGCCCACTCAACTCGGCGTAACTTGATACCAGTTCGAACTCCCAGTGTTCAGAGATTTTACCACTGGGCCTCTTGAACGAACAAGTTTCGCTTATGCTGAATGTAACCATTAAACCATCGTATGATAGCATCTTTCTATTGCATGAATTCATCGCAGAAACGAACAGTTAGTTTTGATGGAATAAGTTCGAACCTGCATCTTTTAGAAATATTGGAGGATCACTTCTTATATTTGGTAATATAACAGCAAAAAGTAGGGTAGCTGCATCGCTGTTAGGCAGACGAGCACTGAAGTGTTATAAATGTATTAGTAATTAACTAACTAAATATGGGCATTTCTCACTTCGCGAGACTTAACTGCACTGTGAGACTCCTAACCCCGCATAACCAGGCACATAGGTTCAACCTCTGCCTTCGCACCTTGGAGAGAGGGATGCATCGCTTTTGTGACACGGGTCGTTGGCTACGATTTGCTATCTGTCAGTC